ATCGAGTGGAGAGAGGGGTGTTACTTTCTATGTCGAAGTTGAACCAGTTGAAGTTGAGTGGGCACGTGATTCACTTTTGGGCTGAACCGAATGGGCACATTGATATTGTATGTGCAGACCCAAATATCATTGACTGGACTACTTGTGTTGTTTAGTGCTGCTGAGTTGCAGTGGGGGGTGGAAAGTTTGCAAACAGCAGGGAGCGTGAGGGCTTTTGTGACAGGTGTGCTAAAGATTGTGATATGAAGGTGGTTTGAGTTGATATGTATTGGTTGGGAAGGGGCGATGGTTTGAGTTTGGAGTTTTGGAATACGGTGGGGTAAGGAGATTAGGCGAGAGTGGGGTGGCATCACTTAAGCAGGTTTTGTTTGGGGAGTTTCTCTTCGTGTTTAGTAAATGACTTTGGGTGTTTTGAGAGGATTACTGCTGTGTTTTTAGGATTTAACTATGTGATTGGAGAAGCTGTTAGGGCGATTTTAGGAGAACAGGTGGACGGGTTTTGGGTTTCAAAGTGGTGGCAAATCTCCGTGAAGTTGAATTGGGATTGGATCAAGGTTGGTCGAGTTTGAGTTACCTTCTAATGGAGCGAAGGTCCCGAAGATGCTAGCGTATTGCGGCATCTTCTTGAATGAACAAATTGACTGGTTTTATGGCAGGTAATGCATTGCAAAGCTCTGATAACGGTGGCGGACCACCTGGTGGTTTGATGATTGAAGTGAAAAGACGCGCTCAAAGAGGTTAGAGACAGAAGCTATTGCCTTATCTGAACAGAGGATTAGAGAATAGAGATTGTTGAAGCAAAGTCAATGAATCAAGTGGTTTAGGAACACCACTTTAAACTCTGACACATCATTATTCTATTATTAATTTAGAACAATAATATGAGCTTCAAGGTCTTATACTACCCGCTGAATGGATATAATATAAAATAAATTACGATATGCCGAATAGATATAATATGGCATGTGAATAGATAAAACAAATGAAGAAAAATAAAGAAAAAAAATTCTTATCGTGATGGGATTTTCTGATTAACATTGTCAGTCGAAAGGAGTTCCGTGTCGCCTCCCATGTTGTAAGTCGTCGTTTGCAGATGATTGTCAGGGCCCCACGGTGGGCGCAAAACTGTAAATGCAAAAAATCTACCGTCATGAAAATAGGGTTTGATCTCGTGAGGTTGAGGCCACTGACAATCTGCTAGACCTACACACATGAAAGGACAAGCGTGAAGCTTCCGGAAAATAGGGTGGTGTTTGCCGTAGGCACTCCGACGCTTAAGTCAGCGAAGCTAAAAGAGATTATTTGATAAGAATTAAGGAGATGAAGAATTACCAAGAGTCTTGTCGGAGGCTAGGACTACAGCGGAGGCGTCGGGTTCTTGAGAGCAAGAACTTTAGGAGCGAATAGATGGTTTTGAGTAATGTGTGGGAGATTGGATGCCTAATGAGAGGGCAAGCCTCCATTTTTATAGTGAACCCAAGGGGCTGAAATCCTAGTAGGACATTGAGTCCTCTTTTTTGGGAGATAATCCCTATCAAGAAAGAAATATGATTTCTTAACCTTATCAGATTAAGTTTAATAGTTTGAGTAAGATTTGGAATCTTAGTAGAAGAGGAAATAGAATGGGATTCTGATTTCCTATTTATGAACTGTTGCAGGCTAATGGGCTGAAACCCAATTTAGCTTAACTTATAGGATAGCCCAACTCGTAGAGTAGGTAGTTCACAAGGTGATTTTAAGCGTAGGCCCAACCGGGATTGAGTTGAGGCCTTGTGCCGTGACATGTTTATTTCATTATTGGGTCTTGTTAAGCCCAAAACGATTTTTGGTCCTAACAATGAGTATATTTTAGTAGTACTCTAATTATTTTGTTGACTTAGTGTTTTGAAACAAAATAGCCAGAGGGGAGGATTGTTAGAGCACAATGAGTCGAAAGGACTTTTATGTGATGGATTTTTAGAATGGATTTCCTAAAGAAGAATTGTGTAGAGACTAATTCTAGAAGTCATCCTCCTGAGTTGATTGGTTTATTTCGTTATACAAAACAATCGGTAAAATATATATATATATATATTTGAGTTTCTGGTTAACTTGTTTGAGTATATTCCACAGGATATATTTTTCAGAGTTAGTTTAGACTTAGGAATCTTAGAATTCATGTTGGAAGGATTTAGACATATTTTCACAGGTTTGGATAATCTTAGAATTGATTAGAATATACTTGGTCATGTTAGCAATGGTAACAGGTGAATTGTTATTCTCGCAATTAAATTCCAGAAACACACTCACAAACTAAGAAAAACTTCTGGAGATCAGAAGTATTTAGTTATTTTATTTTGTATTTGTTTACACTACAAGAAAACACAGCAACAACAACACATTATTTTACTAATTAAAAGTAGTTTCCAAAACTCATATATAACAACTAAATTGAATTTAGTTGCCCGAAGCAATTGCAATTTTTTGGCGCCCCACCTTCTCGGTAACAAGAAACAATTGGCGTGTTCAAATTATTTTTATATAACTAAATTTTTAGTTGTAAGTAATTTTGTTTTGGCAACTATATGTTGTCATATAATTACTAAATAGCCATAAAGGAAATGAGACATCCGATGTGAATCTAACTATCAGTAAAAAATCAGCATTAAGACAAAATATTAAAACCAAGACTTTAGTTTGTAACATGAAGAAACTAAGCCACCTAATTTGTCATAAAAATTAAAAATACTCAATTCAAGTCAAACAAAACTAGGTGCCAACGACTAACTAGAATCAACATTCCAGCTCAAGAAATATATATATCACTCAGAGGAGTTTATGCCTTGGATTATACACAACAATCTTTTATTCAAATAATTCATAAGTGTTTGTGAGTGCCCTGGGAAGCAATTTAGATAGGAGAAAAACAATATGTAACACAAGGTTAGAAAGAAAATAAAAGTAAACCATTAATTTGTAAACGATGCAGATCACCAAGATTAATATCCCTTAACACAAAAGCCCTTTGATATGAATTAGCAATGTTTACATAAAGTTTTTTGAATGCATCAAACATCCCTCCATGCCCCCAGTTTCTAGTTATCAATGCAACTGGAAAATTAGCATTCAAAAAATTCATAATATTCTTAATGACACCAAATTTATTACTTGACAATTTCAAACAGAAAGACAAATAAATAAGATAATGGTAAGCCCTAGCTATGAAGTTTTTAACTTAAAATTTTTAGTACAACTTTCATACTAATCTAAGAATTCTTGTCCTCCAACAGCTTCCCAGATACAAATTACAATAAAAATCTACAAGGTGAAACATAATAAGATAAACTAAGCATTATAAGAAGAAAAGTCATGACCTTTCAGTGTTGCTTGATAAATGGCTTCATGCTTATATTTCAAAGAAAAATTATACTAATGCATCTAGAAAACGAAGCATAAACAAGTGAACTACAGAAGAGAAAATGATTACAAGAACAAAATATGAGACAAAGAAATACTACCAGTAAACTTCTCGAAAGCACGACAAAATAACATGAATATAACAGCAGGGATGAATGAAAAATTTATGAGACGAACAGAATAAGTTTTTGACCATATTTTGGGCATCTAGAATCATTAACAGACCACGAATGGTATCCATAAGCATCCTAATTAACCAATTTCTACTCTTTTGCCTTCTTTCCTATAGCCTCAAGTTTGAAATTAGTAAAAACCCATTTAAGATTAAAAGAAAAAGATCAACATCTTTGTCACAATGTTAGGTTAAGAAAAAAATTCGAAGCCCAATGGTAAAACTTCCACTAGTGTGAAGAGTGAAAAATTGGTTAGTAGATAATTTCATAAAGCTCATAGTATCAACAACCATAAAAATCAAAAGCACTTCCCCAACTCTTGTATAGATCATAAAAGTAAAAGCAGTATTTCCATAAGCTTTAGAATTAAGTGTCTTGATAAATGATGAAGCATTGAAATTTTGTTTAAAAGCAAAATGTTGCTCAACCGAAATTCATCCATCAAGACAATAGTTGGAATACTTTCGTAACTCCAAAAACTCCTATTTGCATATGAAAAGCAGTAACTATAGTTGTCAAAATCAACTAACTTCAGTGCTCAAGCCAAACATATAAATTTAACATCATTTAGATTTGGAAGGAAACCTGTAAAATATCAAGCATATAGGTAATCTGGGCAATGAGAACATGATGCCTGGAAAAATACAACTTTTGAAATATTTGGTCCAAAATTTCAGCTTCACCATTAGCCTGATCAGGAAGTCAATTGAAACAACATTTTGGTTGGAAGTAAACAATGTAACAAGAAAGTAAGGCAAATACAAATTGCAGACACAAAAGCAGCAAAAGTTTTTCTTATTCCAAGCAAACGACACAGATAGACTGCAAACACCCACATCCTTTGTCTACCAAACCTAGATGAAAAAAATGCTTGAACCAGGTATTCACCTTCTTCAAATGGTTTAGGCTCAATACCAGGATAGGGTAAGAATGGTTCTATTACATAGACACAAAAACAAAATAAAAAGATTAAAAAATCAAGAGCACTAACATTCAATAAGGAGAGAAACAATGTGCATTAAGTGAGAACAGAGAAAAGAGACATGATACAATATCTGCATGTTGTTCAAAATTTTAGTCAATTAATCTTTACTGATTTAATGATTAAAAACTTAAAACTTTATGCAACCGATTGCTTGTGTTTATCACATCATATTGATCATTAGGTTGGAACTTTAAAGTTCAAAATCAACAAATTGTCATTAAACAGTCATCTGAAAACTCCAAATTTCCATATGGAACTAGATAGTTAAAAGGAAGCATTTAGAATGAAAGTCATCATCAAGCTCATAAATCTATACACAAACCTCTTCAAGAAAGAGAAAACAAGATTAGGATGAGTCCAATGACTTCTTACAAATAGAATTGTCTCCTTTGTAAGTGTTGAAAGAGATAAGTCCGTTGTGCCCACTACAGAGCTTGTCTGTCTACGTGGGGAATCCAGTCTTACTCATAGAAAATGACCTAAAGCAAAAATTAGAATTAGAAAATTGTCATTTATATTAAAAAGAGAGAGAGAGAGAGAGAGAGAGAGAGAGAGAGAGAGAGAAGATTATGTTTCGTACAACATTGGAGCCCAAAAACGAAAAATCGCTTTCAAAAAGCATCATTTCCATTTGCTTAAAAATTGAATCTCCCTGTAATTGATGGCGCACTAAAATTTCTTATAGGAGAAAAACGCTTCTCAGCCTTAATTGATCCACTAAGACACTCAAAAGGAATCTTGTCATAACTCTAGAAAATCCTTCATGGCATATGAGAAGCAGTAACTATAATTGTCAAAATCAAATAGCTTCAGCAATCAAGGTGGAGACATTTTATTACTACATAGGATATTTCACTCCCCATTGGATTTCGGCTTTCATTATGCCTTGATGATCTACTTATGTAACTTCATCCTATTTGATTTACTACTATAATTTCGAGCTAAGCTTATTTGACACGACACGGTTATGACACTTCACAAACAACACACTAACCTGTTTTCCCAACCCTACTTCTTACATCTAGATGTTACTTTCAAACCCATTTTCCTCTTTGCTCTTTATTTTCCCAATAGTATAATGTATGACTAGGGTTTTAGAAGCATACTTGTTTCATTCTAATTCTATCCCCAAAATTGTCTGGGCAAACTAGTTGTGGTTTAAAAATGGTCCACAGGTAGAAGATAGATAGATGTAAGAAGACAAGGCCACAAGCTTTTTGTTTTATGGTCTCCATGACCCATAGTGGGACAGTAAACATACTTCTCTCATTTACTTCAACATTGCTCCCCATCCTCTTGACACTCAAACCAAACAAATAAATGGACCTCAATTTTCTTAACATCTTGCTATTCTCCCTTTGTCTCTACAACTTTGGTCCCACCATATCCATTACACCTGTGCTGAAACCCTCATTTTATTTACCAGCAATACATGTAACAAAAAATGTGAAAGCTAGTTCAATTTGGGTTGCCTATAAGATAAGTTGGAAAAGAATGTGTTCTAGCAAATACAGAAGAATAAACAATATAATAATTCATTCAACTATTATGAACTACAAAATCTGAAATTGAAAATAAAAACGCATAGTAAGAGAACCAACCAAGACATTGATCCTCACAATTGGAATGAACATATAAAAAATGCAACAATTTTGAAGCTATATAATAGAACTATATAGTAATACATACACTAATTTTCTGATGAGTTCCATCTCTATATGTTGCATCGATCATAACCAGAGAACCATGATGAGGGTTCTGCAAGTTTCGATAACTTGCTATCTTCAGTCAAAAATGGCTTGCATTCCTCTCTCCATTGCTGATCGCCGTCATCATGAGGCTCCTCTACATCGTACTTGGCCACATCAGAATTGTTATAAATAGGTTGTATTGCTTCTTTGGGTAGACGAGACTCCGCTATGATTTCATTAAGAGTCCTAATATCAATTTCCTGTTTTTTCTTCAATTGATCAATCTATTTGTATGCCTTTGCAGTTTCTTGTTCAGCTTCTATAGCTCGCTTTTGAAAAAAAAGAAAAATAGAAAAAAGTATAAGATAAAATGTATCATTTAGCAATAGAAAAAAAAAATCCAATAATTTTCAAGTGGAAAGTTGATAATAAAGTTCTATTGGGAAGTTATCCATCCGATATGGAGTATTCAACAAGTAAAAACATGCTAAGGTTATAATTAAGAATAAATCATTGTCCAACAAACTAATGCAAACCATATTTTGAAAGAAGTTGCAGCTAGAGCTAGTTAAGGACCGTTCCCAAGCAGGCACAGGCCTGGGCCCGTTTGGGATTGGTCCCTTTGAGACTGGTCCCATTTGGGACCAGTCACTCATGGGCCTGGGATCCCAGGCCCATGAGCAATTTCAGGACCCGAACCGGTCCGGTGGCCTACAAACTTTTATTTTCTCCCCTATCTTTTTTTTATATTTTAGAGTCAAAATGAAATTCTGTAGGGGGGTTTAGTAATTTTTAGGGGTAGATTAGTAAGTTTTTAAAAGTTTAATTAATTTTAAAAAATAATTAATTAATTAATGGTTAATTTTAACATAAATGTAATATTCACACAATTACACATTCATGCTTCACAAATAAACAATTAAATATTTTTTTTTATTAAATTATTCATCTTTATCGTCAACAATATTTAAATCATTAAAATATGTGTTCCTAAAGAGTTCGAGTAGTTAGGGATCTTCAGAGTGCTGTTGTAGTCTTCTCTCTGCATGAGTCCAATCTCGTAAACACGTTATCAATTCAATCATCTCATCGGTTAAAGAGCATCTTCTGTCTTCAACAATGTGACCACTAGTTGAAAATGCTTACTCGGATGCAATTGTAGAAACCAGCACAGATAAAATGTCAAGTGTCATTTGGGCTACAATGAGGAATCGACTTTGATGTTGGTTTCACCATTGAAGCAAATCCATCTCACGTTTCTCCTTCATCGGACCAGGATTGCTCATGTTTGAGATAACTGAAATTGTTGAATCCTCTGCGTAGTTGCTAGCACTCGACTTGATATGTCATCGACCTGTGGCCCATGACTACCACTCCTATCCAGGAAACCTCACAATCACCCTAGAAAGTTGTGCTCTATACTCCCATTGAATTAAGCTCTGGCTAGTGAGATGATGTCAATGGGTGTGAAGCTCTCTGATTACGCTGTTGTTTGATAGTGTTAGCTCCCTTGGGTCCACTATGTACGTCTAAAGGTATTGAAGCATCAACTTTAGAGATGTCGGTGTCTTTACTTCATCTTCCCCACATGGAACTCCCACTCTAATGTACAAAGAGGTAACGAGACTCAAAATAGGTAGGAACATCATAAACTCTAGCAGTATGCATTATCTATAATAAATGACCTGGCCAATGGCTCACACATCTACGAGCAATAGCATACAACATGAAGGCTCTCTCAATTTCCATTTTTCTGTGATGTAGTGTAGGAAAAATCTTGGCACATATGAAGTACTGCCACAACCGATGGGTGAATGAAAGTTCTTTCGCTGGAAAACCCTTATACTTACCATACGAGAGATGTTAAACTCTCCCTGATCCTTTCAAACACATGTAGCACCTATCATACTTGGATCCTTTGTGAATTGGAGTACTCACCCTGGTCGATCGGAATGTCAAGTAACCATAAAATTTGTTGAGGGTTCTCATTGAAGCTCACCTCCTTGCCTCTAATCATAATCTTCCTTGTCGGCGTCTCAAAGGCGTTGGCATAAAATCCATCACTACAGGATCGGTAGCTGCATCGGTGGGTTGTAAATTTTGCCATGTCAGGTCCCTTATAATTAGTAAACCCGGAATAAGCACTCTCAATTCAATCCTCGTCATCACAACCCTTGACCATTCATGGTAGCCTCATTATATCTCTCTTCTGCAATGGGTCACAAATCATCACATGGGTGTCTCGTGGAGCACCCCATGACTCCTACTCAATCCAACCCCATTTCTACTCTTCTTATGCGATGCATTTCAAAAATCAGGATGCAAATACTCCACAAACAAAGCAACAACACCCAAAAAAACAATCCAACCAATCTACCCAATTACACAACACTAAATCAATCGCAATAGCCCTACTCACCTAATCACACCACAACTAATTTGCCCAATTACATGGCAATTACACACACTACACAAACTAGCAATCCACAATCACAACAATTTCAATCAACCAATTTCCAAATTTTCCCACACAATCACAATTTCCAATCAACAGTTTCAAATATTCCAAATTGCAGAAATAAAATCAGAACCCAAAATTTTGCAATCTTCAAAATTGAAATCTCTGGAAATTCCTCACAAAAATAACACGACAAACTAGTGATTAAAGATTTGCCAACACAATTGACAATTCTAAGAACCTTGGTTGTTGAATTTTGATCTCAATTTGAAAAACCCCCATTCAACCCTAACTTCTCCTTGGTAGATTTCTACACTAAATAGGATTGAAATTTGCAAAATCAAGTGTAGAGAAGTGTTTACAAGTGTAGGAGTGATCAATCAGCACAAAATCATCAAATAATTGAAGATTTGAGAGAGAAAATGACACTGTAGCACAAGAAGAAACGAAAATGAGAAGAAAAAAAAAATTGTGTGTTTTTATATGGAAATGGGTTGCGCTGTGGCATGAGTTTCTGCGCCCACAGCGTGACATGGATTTTCTCATGAAGTCAAAAACACTGAAGTCAAGCCACAGTTTCGTTGTGCGTTTCACGCTGAATTATGCCGCAGAGTAGGAGCTTGCGCTGCATCATCACACACGAATCAAATGCGCATAAAAACACGAATTGCACGCGGAGTGAACTGGATTTCCCTTAAAAAAAATAACAACTATTAATTACCTACAACACACTAAATGAAATACTGAAACGAAGTCAAACAAACTGAAATAAAACAGAAACATGAATTAAAATGAAAAACTTGGTTGCTCCAAAAAGCGCTTGTTTAACATCTAAGCAGAAGGAATGTTTGGTCTATGGCAAGGAGCATCCTCAACTCTACATTAGACGTCTTGTTATTCTTCTATCAATGGCCTCAAGTAAACCCTTTGCCTTTTCATAATTAAATTTGCTATCCTCAGCAGTCAAAGCTAACCCAATTTGTCTTCTATCTTATCTTGGAAAGAACTGAAACAGTATAGCCCAAGGAATTAACAAGAAATCACTCATTAGCTTTAGAAGGTGAAGACAGAGAATTAAAATTGAAAATTCCACATGTGATTGGGGTCCATGAGAGTGAGGTGGATGGGTAGGTAGGGAGCCCCACCTATGACGAGGGCATCAAATATTTAGGTGGGAGAGAATGTAACGAATCCACATCGGAAGCGTATTGGGGAGGTCTTGGGCTATAAATGGGAAGAGTTCCTCACCTAATAGGTAACATTTGGGTGTGAAACTCCCAGCCGTGACACTAGGCATTGCCAACTGTAGTGGGTAGAGTCGTCGCTACAA